TCGTTTGGTGAACGATTCCAAATTTCTCCAGACTGATTAGCGAGTGAAATCTTGAAAGCTCGCGAGATCAGGACGGTCTCACGAGGCTAGCTAAATGCTGGGATTGTTAATTGGGTCAATCTCAAAAAGTTCAGATTTTCCCAACTACTGTCTCTGCCACTTCAACCGTGCTGCAGGACCCCGTCCACCATATACTTTCCACAAAATACAGACACCCTAATTACGTGACAAAGCACTAATATCTCCCTGGACTCAGCATCCCTAAACACAGTGGTGGCAGCATCATGCTGTAGAGAACAGGGATGATGGATGATGCTAACTCAGGGCAATGATGGTAGCTTACCTAAACATAATATCAAATACAGAATAAGTGAGTAGATTTAAGAAATCGAATTCCCACTGATATTCTATTTATCTGGCAAAATCAAACTGCGGTATTTTATTGGTCTATTGCAAAAAATAAACTGAACAGCAAAACCTGGGATCATAAATAGTTTTTAATGTTTTATAAGCTCATGACTAAACAAACAAAACTGTAGCAAATGACAAACTTACAATGGAGTTGGCACATGGGAAGAACATGCCGAGACAAAACAGGCCGAGGATTGGTCCACCGACCATCCCAAAGATCTTTAAAGCTACCTGCAAGTCAAGCGTAAACACTTAAAGCTAAACCAATCGAACCGTTAATAATAGGATCAAACAAGGAGCTCACCAGTAACACCGAGTCCCCCATCAGGTGAGTGAGGTAAGCCATGGCCAGACAGAGCAGCCCGTAGGACAGCGCTTCCAGAACAGAGACGTAACATCAAGCATTAGAAAGTTCAGCCATCGATTTGGTCGTTTTTAAAGCAGAGAGCAGCTCTCACCCAAAGCTTTGGACACCAGCGTCGCTCTCGCTTCGGACATGGATGGAAAATGTGGTTTGATGAGATCCTCCATCGTCACGGTAGCCAGAGAGTTGAAGGCAGAGGAGATGGTGCTGAACAGACAAGTCATAACATTAACATATGCCTTTTTTTTATTTTTACAAAATCAAAAACTTGTGTAAATTAACATGAGAAAGCCAAGCTATTTGTGATGTCACTGGATCTTTATGGAACATGTTTTATTTTCCTTTTATTAAGCACACCAAACCAAATCTGCTTTCTCTCTTAATATGAAGATTGGAGAAATTACAAAAGCAGCACAGTTCAGTCTTTAACGAAAACCTGGTCAATAGAAACTCATTATGCAAAGCAGCTGAGCACCAGAATAAATGACCAGGATATCAAATTATCTCCGTTTTATTACAGTCTGGAATTCACACAAAGGTCCATTTCAGCTTCATGCAGCTCTTTTTATCTTTATGCTTACTGGTTTAATTTAACTTTTTTTATTACTTTACATAAATCCATATTTCTAAATGAAGCTAAACTCACTCTTGCTGTTCTGTTTTTAACTTTTTAATCCAATCTTTTTACTGTTACAGAAATAGTACAACCTTTTAACTCTTATAAAACAGATCAATGTATGTTTTTTTTTAAAGTTTGCCAAATTAGTAGTTTATGTCTGAAGGGAAAATTAGTAAACTGATGCTGATCAGCTGTAGCAGACCTGGACATGCAAACTGAATATTTTATATGGAAAAATATTTTACATTTTATCATTTCCAGACCCAAAAGTTAAAATGTTTTAGCAGATCTGTGTGGACGACCTTTACTGTAGTTGTGTTGCTTCATGTTGAACACTTCACGGTGTAGTTTAAAAATGCTAAAAAAAAAAAAAAGTTCACTATTTTATATAGTCTCTTAAATTAGCGCTGGATGAATTCTTCTTAAGATTATTTGCAGCCTGTTGACAGAAAGTTTGTTCCCATGTCTTTGGTTGAATATCTAATAAAAAATTCTGATTGATTCTTATTTATCTTATTTACTACCCTTATATTCCTATATAGGGGGAAAACTGAATTAAATACCATATTCTCTGGACTATAAGCCGCTATAAACCATGGTGCTTATAAGAAGGCGCGGCTTCTCTGTTGATTTTTTTCTAACTGCCAGATGGTGAAGGGAAAGAATAAGGGGCTAATTTTAACTTAGCATACGAGCATGCTAGCAGCAGGCACAATGGAGAACAAATATCCCGAATTCATGTATTTTGACATTTATCTGCCTCATTAAATAAAGAGACTGGGTTCAACTCCTGCAGAACTGAAATAAAGAGCCGACAAAGCCCCATCTTTCAGTAGAAACTCTTACTGCTGTGAGCTAACAAGCTAACAGGAGCTAGCATTCTTCTTCATTCCTACTCCAGGGGCTATAAGTAGAGCTCCCCCTACAGGTTTGCTGGGAGACAGTTCCGTAGATATCAGCAGTTTATAGCCCCATGCGGCTTATATATGTATGTTTTAAAATTTTAAAAACAATTTAGTGTGTAATGAGGTGTGCTCTATAGTTCAGAAAATATGGCACATGTTTTTTATTGTAGTGTATTTTCTGCTTTAAAAAATTATGGCTATTTTTCTGAAGCGACCAGTTAGCTTCATAAACCAGCCAATAGTTTCACAGCAAAACACACAGCAGCTGCCAGTGTTTGTTTTTTTTTATTTAATAAAGTTAATTTTAATATGTTATCAGGGCTGTCAACTAGAGACTGACACGGGAGTGGATTTTCACTCCTGTCCCGTCCCACTCCCACAGACAAAAATGGTGTCCCGTCCAGATCCCGGGCCAGAGTAGAAATCTAAATCCTGTCCCGTCCCACTCCTGGTGAAATTACTCCCACTCCCATTCAGAATGACCCCCGCTCCTGCACCACTCCCATTCTTTTGTTTTTCAGCGCAGGTGAAAAACTCAGAGCGGAAGCACTGTTGGTTTTTGGGTCGTGTAGTTTTTTTGACTCGAATTATAGTGTAGGCTTCAAGGAGAAAAACTACAAAATGGCGGCGCCAGTACTGGATTCTTTTTCTTTCTATTTTATTTTATTTTTTGGCATCGATCCTAGTCTTTTTTTTAGTTACTATTGGTTTCCCGTGACCCGTGGGATTCCCGAAAAAATGTCAGTCTCTACTGTCAACTCTCACCCATTGGGAGTGAGACTCACCCATCTCAGGGTCAGACATTAATACTCAACTCTGTTCCACTATTTATATATAAAAATACCATGGTGATTAAAATCTAGTCCGCGTTTTTAATACAACCTTAGTGCTAACGCAGGAGGACATGCCAGGTTCATATCCAGTCCGTATTCCCACCTATTCACTGTGTCAGATATTGATCAAAGAC